CCTAAACATTTAATTGGGCGGCCAATTAAATTGTAAGGATTTGAAGGATTTTAGAAACTTTAATTGGGCGGGGCTGGGCTGGAGGCCGGAGGCCAGCATTTAAGTCTTTTAGAATCCTTAACTTACCGCCAACGTTACCAAGGGCCGCCGGGGACCGCCAACGGTAGGAAAAAAAAAGTGCGGGCCCACATAACATTGTAAAATTGTAAAACATAAGACAGTAGCATATAAGGTATAATGCCACAAAGAAAGGATTCAATATAGCAAGATGTTATGTGATATGGTATAGTTCACTGTAACGAAACAGAATCCACCGACTCTCAGCGATCCCACGTCCCCACAACACCGCCCCCGCCGCTCCGACCGCCGCGCCCCCCCCCCCCTTCACCGCCTCCACCGCGCCCCCACCTCACACAGCCGACCTTTCATTGCCCCCATGACCCCCTTCTCAGCAATCCCCCATTCCCTAGCTCACTCGCTCCCAGCGTTCTGCCCTGAGACACGGCGCCCACGCTTTGCCGGACTAATTGGCGGGCACACCATGTTATCACCCGAGACCGAAGAAGCTGCAGACCCCCCACCGATCTCCATTCCAGCATGCCTCGCTGCATCTCGCTGCCAAAAACAAAAAGCTGCGGTAAACCCACGCACCTGCGAGAGCGTCTTGCGAGGAAACTGCCAGCGAGATGCCACGCCGCGCTCTTGCATGCCTGTTCGCGAGCATTGGTTGCCTCATGTGCGGCGAGCGTGCACTGTCTGGCACGTCCGCCAGGGACTTACGAGTCCGAAACAAGGGAGCCCTCTTTGCTTCGCACATGCAATGATGCCCCCTGCCGAGATCCCGTTGCTGCTTACTACTACCGAGAGAAAATGACACATAGTCTACAAGAATAAAAATGCTGCGCTGCCTCTGCACAAATTTTTTCCACCGGAGCGCACGGGACCTCGTTTGGAGGCTCACCCGGCAACGCACACGCTTGGCCATTCCCCACACCGTTGGGTTTTGGGCACCCGGGGACGACCCCAGGAAGGGGAGCGCTCGCAACTGCCCAGGCAGCTGGGCGATATTTTGCCTGTTTTGGAGTGCCACCAAAGGGCGCGCATCATCATCAGCGGGGCACGGCGGAGGGGGTGGAGAGAGGGGTGGGGATCATCAGGAGGTCTAAGGGGACCGACGGAGGGGGGGGGGAACACAAGGAGAAGAGTCGGGGCTGAAGCGTCCGGGCTGCTTCCTGCACTGCCAGCTTTCGAGCACTGCCGACCCCACATCCCTTGACATCATCGGACCCTTCCAGAAAGCTCTGAGAGAGCATCGGGAGCGTGCCCATCTTCGAATAGCGTGGATTTTGTGCCTAGTTTGGAAACCGTGGCGAGAGCGCATCATGGGGATTCCCTCGCGTGTGGCGGTGGAGAGGGGGGGACGCACGGGAATCACCGTTTTGCCATTGTCAGAGCCTTTAAATCCTCCAAACAGGTGGTATCTTCCGAGCGGGGGAGAGAGGCGGGGACGCACCATTTTGCCAGTTTCAGAGCCTAAATCCTCCAAAATGATGATTGTCCCGGGTACTGTAGCGTACTAGGACAGAAAAAGAACATGATGTCATTTAATGCAATAGAATAAAATATAGCTGAAAATATACTATGTCAACAAATATGTTATAGCCGCAAGGATGCTGACACAGAAAGCATGATAAAACATAAGATAAGATAGCATAACAAGTCATAACATGTCGTAACATAACATAGTGTAATGCCATAACATAGTGTACCGACATATAACATAATGACCCTGAACATAACATCATAAATTAAAGCATTGCATTGTAGCACAAAACATAAAATAGAATACAGCACCATAACATTATACTACAATCTTACATGATGAAGTATAGTAGTGAAAAGACATCTGAATGCACATACAGTATGGAATTTTATGACTACGAATGCAATAAACCGTCTCAATGTAACTTTAACCTCAAACTTAAACATAGCGTTAGTATGAATATAGGCGCAACTATACATCTAAAATTCCTGCCACACAAAACAGATTGCAGCAACAGCAAGATAGTGTCAAGTAAAAACATGTAAAATGGAATGTGATAACAGGACACTTATGTTTATACAACATGGTGTGACATGAAAAAGTGTGATCAACAGTTTTGTGTTACGTTTTGATATTAACTTGTATGATCCAATGTAGCACATGTAACATAATGCAAGACCGTATAACGTGATGTAAATAGGATCCAACATTATAGATTGCAAAAAGTTGTTCTATATTTATGTAATGGAATGGAAGGGAACGGAATGGAATAGATGGGAGTGGAATATCATAGAACAGAACACAGAACAGGAGAGAAGAGAACAGAATAGAAGGGAAGATAATCTGACTAGAATAGAATTAATAGCATGGAATGACATAGACTAGAACGGAAAACATTCCAAAAAACGGAATAGACTGGACAAGAACATAATAGAAGAGAATAGAATAGACTAGAACCACATGGAGCAGAATCAATAGAATAACATGGAACCGAACAGAATTTCATAGACTAGTGTCAAAACACGACAGATATGACATATATGTCATAGCCCTCCCCTCCGGTCTTCTCCTGGCGGAGCTCCTCGATGGTCTGGTCGACCTCTGCTCTTTTCCCGTCCGTAGTCGGAGCCAAGCCGCTACGGCTGGGGGCTTAGGGGGAGGGAAGGGATGACTGGGTCCTATAAGGTTTGGGGCTCCAGTTATGGGCTTTTTTTGAGGGCCTTTCTAGTGTCTGCAGCGAAGCTACGTCTCCCAGCCCACTAGGGCAGGCATGTATGCCGATCATTGGTCGCTTAATCAACCCTGTCGCTCAGGTCGTTGTGGCATTCGGCATGTCAGTCATCGGACTACGCTGCTTCGTTACCCCATAGAGGGATTGATTCGGTGACATTCGGGTAGTGATGGGCCTGCTTGAGCTCCGCAACGGCCCCTCGCCAGTCTTCAACTGATGCCTCCTCCTGGCATCTTCTGAGGATTCGCTGTCTCCATGGGCTCACTTTTGGCACACGCCTGGCCTCAGCCATGGCTAGGACGTCTGCGACCCAAGCCCTACCTTTGGGCAAAATTCCCCGGAAGGTCGAACCAAGGTCCAAGACAAGCACCGACATGAGCCTAGACGCCAAGGCAGTTCGCGGTTTTCAGCGCACCCTTGCTTGGTTGCGACATGCTCTTTCATGACTGCGAGAGAGCGGTTGCTCATCTCCTACGGCCACCAGGCTGCACGGCCGAACGCCAAGAGCCGGCAAACGCGGCTCGAGTCTCGAGTCTCGAGGGCCCCTTGTGGGCTGCAAATGACAACTGCATCATCCCCCTGAAGCTGGAGCTGGAGTCATGCCCTGCAATGCCTGCCTGAGACCAAGACAGAGGGACGGACGACGTCCAAAGCGCACTTCGTCCTGTGGGTTCCCGAGGCCGGTGCATCTCCTCGAGAAGCTTGGCTAACTTCTTCAGCTCCTCCTGCCCCAATCAAACACTCATCGAAAAGACGCCAGGGATCGACGCTTCTCAAAAGCTTCCGCGCTCTCTCCTGCTGCAGAGGAGTCAACTCGGCCTTGGAAGTCAGAGAGACAAGAAAGCGATTTGTGAAGGTCACACGAGCACGGCGAGCACGGAGCAGGGCCTCCTCTCTGGGCTCCGATGACTTGGACTCCTCCGGCTCCTTGGTGTCCTCCGGTGTCTCCTCCGGCTTCGGGGGTTCGGGCGCCGCGTTTCTTTGCTCCTGGCAGATCCAAGGGCGCGAAGAGCCCACCAGTCACAGAGTGCAACTTGCACTATCCCGTCCATCCCAGATCTTTCCGTCCTTCTCTGGCTGCTCAGAGCTTGCAACTTCGGCGCTCTCCTTTGGTTCAGCTCCCGCTTGTCGAGCTTGCTTCTCTTCCGCTGCCTGCTCTGCCATGGCCTTCGGCTCAATAGCTTTGAAAGGAAGAACCGACGACCGAGCACCTCGCCTGCTGCATCAGATGCTTCCTTCGAGCACTCCGAGTTTCGGGAGGCTCGAGGCTGTGGAGCTCCCAGTACCAGAAGTACGCGGCTGAACAGGCGAAGTGCGTCAGAAGATTCAACAACTCACAGCTTTGCAACTCGCGCAGGGGCGCGAACAATAGGCCGCAAGGCGCTTTTCAAGCCAGACCTCTGACAGCGATCTCTCTGAAAGCTGAGGATTTCTCAAAAGGATGAGACTGAGACCTTCCATGAGGCGAACCAGCAGAGAAGTTGGAGTGAACGCCGTCGCAGAGACCTCCGCCTCAGCCGAGAGCTTTGGGCGACAGCAAGTGTGACAGGACGTGCTTTTGACTATGGCGTGGGGGTGACATTATCTTTAAGGCTGCCTGATTTAGAGGGCCTTCTATCCAAACATCCTTCTAGTAAGTACGCTGAGTAAGGGTCTTTGTTAGTGGCCTTTTCTTTCCTGAAGCTCCCCTATGGGTGAAGCTGATGCCCTCTCAGACCACGGCTGGTTGAGGGGACCACCAGACACGTACCTGTAGCAGTGGCAACACCTACTGTATGTATGTAGGTACGTATGTATGTATGTATGTATGTATGTATGTAAGTATGTACGCAGGTATGTATGTATGCACGCAGGGATGGATGTATGTATGTATGTATGTATGTATGTATGTATGTAATGTAATGTAAGTATGTATGTATGTATGTATGTATGTATGTATGTATGTATGTATGTATGTATGTACGTATGTATGTATGTATGTATGTATGTATGTATGTATGTATGTATGTATGTATGTGTGTATGCATGTATG